GTATCAAAGAAACAATTTGGGTTGTTTATGTGTTCCCCAGGAACTTTTCAGTGTTGAGCCATGAATTATGTAGATTTACAGATTCTATACATGGTCCTCCAGTGTCTTCACCAACACTTTAGTCCAGATCTGTGTTATTTCCCTCAGGAGAATGTCTTACCCTGACATCGGACATTTTACCAGGTGCTGTAAGTGACTAGTATAGTGTAGCTGACTCTTCTGCCTTGGTGGCAGGTTGACTTTTACTGATTCATTCTACTCTTCAAATCCAGTGGTCAGGGATGCACCCCACACACTTTAGGTGGTTTCTGAGGGTGTTATGAGACACTGTACTTTCTAACCCGCTTTGGGGTGAGGTTGGCCACTTGCTCCCAGAGTTTTTCTCGATTTCATGCTGAGAGTGAACAGAAGACTTGATCCAAAGACTAAGTGCATGCCCTTCACTTGGGGGTTCGTATTACTCAATGCAACTCTTTTTTCCTCCCAAATGATCTTTAATAGAAAGTTGTAAACTCAATTTTAACAAAATGATAAATTGATCAATTATTCCATATTAACTCAATGAGCTATTTATGCAGTCAATAAAATGATACTCAGATTTTACAAATACATAGGAGTTGTTATAAAGTTAAAAAGGAAAATGTGAATCAATAATTGCAAATGCTATCTAATTGCAATTATAGTACACATATATGCACTAAATAGAGAAATCTATGACATAAAATGTCATAGTAATGGTTGTAGGGTGGTAGGATTATGACTGTTTTTAACTTTTACAAATTATCTTTGATGCTATAGTGAGATATGGAGATGTCAGATCGCTATGTGGTACGTGTGAAATAATATAACCAGTATGAGCTCATATACCAACTATACTTACATTAAAATATATGTGAAAATCAAAAAATAAAAATAAAGTCTGCATACTAAAGTTCTTAAGGAATAAAAAAACTCTTGAATTTTATCTGTCTTTATTTAAAATACTATAGTGTAACAGATAATTTTTAAAAAGCAACCCAACTCTTAATTACCACATGTGAGCAGCAAAGCTTACTAAATATAAAAATAAGGTGGGCTTTTATAATAATAGATAACATTTTTATTGATCCCCTATCCAGTGCTATGCGCTGTATTCTGATAGTACTTAACATGGAACATTTCATTCAGTCATCATAACAAATCCATGAAGAAAGTTCCATTATCAGCCTATTTTGGGTATGCATATACCAGAAAGTAGCAAATGTACAACTTTTACTAAGTCACTGTCATTCCCAAGCCCACCTTCCCTCTGGTTGTCAACTGTTAGCAAGAAGCACATGTTCTTCTCTGCCTCTTTGTGCTGTCAGTTTGCATAGTCTGCGTCTTACAAGGAAGGCCTGGGATTCACAGTGCTGTCTAGGACCAGCTAGTAAGTTCAATTCAAGGTAAGGAATCAGCAAAACCTCTTTGTGTATCACATCTAAACCTCATCCCCCAGTTAGTGTTTTTTCAGTAATTCTTGTATCTGTCCCTTAATCTGTTCTCAGTATGCGTGATAATAGAGGTTGTTCTTTATTGATAAACTTGAGACCCCAGCATCTGGTATCCAGCTTACAATTTTTCTTAACCAAAATGGGACATTTGAATTATTGGTTGTTTTTTTTTAAATCCTCACCCAACGACATGTTTATTGATTTTTTTAGAGAGAGGGGAAGGGGTGGAGAGGCAGAGAAACATCGATGTGAGAAACATCCATTGGTTGCCTCCTGTATGTGTGCTGACTGGGACCAAACCTGCATCCTAGGTACAATGTGTGTATGCCCTAACCAGGAATCAAACCCACGACCTTTCAGTTTATGGGACGATGCTTCAACCTACTGGGCCACACCAGCCAGAGCAGATTATTGATTTTAGTGGCTTACAATTGCTTATGTTGTGTAGGTTCAGAGCTCTAAAGGAGGCTGGGAACCTCGAACAGGGAAACAGAGCCTCTCCGTCCTGTTTGCATGCTGTTCTTGTCAGTCTTGCCTCAACAACTCTTGGCAGTGGCAGCTAAAACCCCTCAGCCCAGCCTTCGTTATTCAGCTTCCCAGAGCCAGCCTGGTTATTCCCCAGTGGGGGCAACAGTGCAGTTGGGAAGCATCTTCTCCTCAAAGGGTTCAGTCTGAATACTGACTCCTTTCACCTTGTAGATTCTAATCACCCAACCTTTGCTCTGTGCCCTTTAACCCTAGGGATGGCAGCTTCATGTAGCTTTGCTTGTTATCTGAGAGCTCTCCTTTTACTGTTGTAATTCTCCAATATCCTTGTAACCACTGTGTTGTATTAAAATCTCTCTACTATTGTAAAATACCAGCATAGTTTCTGTTTCCCTGTTGGATTCCCATCTGAGTCAAAGAAAAGTTAGAAAACACTCTGAAATTAAGACAGTTATACAAATGATTACAAACAAAAAACATCTGAGCAGGTATGACAATGGAAGAACAGAAAATTATTATAAAATATTTCTAAAATTATGTGATGCATTACAGAGTAATTGAGTTACTGTTGGTAATGCACCTCTATTACTTGTACACTGAGTGAAAATACCCAAGAAATTTAGAAATTTGATCTCTAAGTGAATGCAAAACAACAAACAGATAAAATTAAGTGGGAGCCAGACCAGACAATGTTATCGCCTATCTTTATAAAGCTAACAAAAGAAAGAAGAATAAAAGCCAAGAGAAAGGATGCTAACCCAAAAACCCAAATGCTAAAAGGTATAAAATATCAATACTTACATCAAATAAAAATAGATTAGGTCCTCTTATATTTCACATTGATTTTTTTCAACCTATAAAACATAGCTATATATAGCGTATAAGAACAACAAAAACACAATTGCAAAGACAGGCTGGGAATACTGACAATGAAGAAATATCCTGTGCAAGAATGTAGTAAGTTGATGCAACAATAGAAATATAAGGCAGATATTTTTATCTATATTTATGTAAGGCAAAAAGAGAAATACTATATAATAACAAAGATAATAGCCTACAAAGAAGATGTAACGATCATCAACATGTATAGCTATAAAAACATACTCATAATATAGAATTAGAAAAAAAAAAGCCCAGAGAAAACTAAAGAAATATTTGTAAATCTAACTTTATAGTGGGGAATAAGGAAAATGCTTTGAGAAACAAATTGATATACTGAAAAATTGGAAATCAAAGTCCTGAATTAAAAAATTTACAAGCTTTCTCTACAAATATATATAAAGAACCCTTTGCCCGAGAAACAGAGAATATATATTACCTAAAACTAATATAAAATTTGCCAAATTGGCTATATACAAAGCAATAAAAATCCTCAGATTTTTCAAAGAATCAACATCACAAGGATTCATTGTTTTATACCACAGTGACTGTAAATTAAAATTTAACAATAAAGATAATACATATATTTGGAAACCTAAAAAATGCAGTTCTACATAATTTGTGTTTTACTGATGGCATTATGGTGAAAATTCTGAATATCAGCCTTGAGATGTACAGCCAAAATGGTAGATAAAAAGCAAATATAGACCTACTTTACATCTATTAACAAAACAAGAAAAATGTAATAAGTTAAATATTTAACTCAGGAAGACACAACGATCAAGAGGGAAATAATGATACAACATAATTTATATAACAGCCAACTTTAGGGACAAAAATGAAAAAAAGGAAGATCATTAAAATACAAACGTAGGTCCTTTTACAAATGCCAGTAAAAGAGATATAGCTGTTGACAAGCAAAAGGAAAGGTGTATATTAAATAATGTCAGGAATAGAAGGTTATATGACCAAAAAGTATAGAGATTTTAAAATGATAATGCCAATGTGAGGGCGCAGTCTCTCTCCAATATGCGAGGTACTAACCGGATCCCATGAGTGATGAGCCTCTTACTGGACAGGTTTAATGGAGAGAAGCCCATTTCAGACCTACTGCAAGTCATGCTCTCAAGGGTAAACTAGTCCCTCGAAAATTTTCCTAAGAGTTGGCCCGTACACTGAAATAACTTCAGGAAATTATCTTCTACCACCTCCCTATTCCAGTGTAAGGATAGATGTACATTAAAGAATAAAAGAGAAATTTAAATCAGAAAGACACCACCAGGTTGTCTCAGTTGCATTCCCCAGAATTGCAAAGGAGGTCAATGTCCATTCAGGAAGGGGAGGAAACAGTAGTAGTTAGAGTCCTAGGGGAAACACCTCTCTCTTTCCCCCTTGACTCGGAATCTCTGCAAGTGATGGAATAGAGGTGGGTTCCTGGTGAGAGTTTCCTTCTAGCTGGCACTGCAGTTAAATCCTAGAGAACAGGATTTAACAAGCCCCCCTTGGGATGCCTTATCCTGTTCCTGACTCCTTGCGTAGGCCATGCTAACTCATCTCTGGTCTCGTTTTATGAGTTGTATTCCTTGTGGTGACTTAATGAAAAATAGTATGGGTCGCATGTTCTGGTCAGGCGTAAGATGAGACTCAACCAAGACTAGAGAGAATGGGAAAAACCTATAGGTCCCATTGGCCCTGCGTACCACCTACTCTACTTGGAGGGTTAGTAGGTGAGGAAACGGAGTGCTTGAACCACAATGAGTGCAAGCGTGTGGCAATTGTAATGTATGAAGGAGTCCCAGGAATCATTCTAGAGCTTCTAAATGGGTGAACATGGAGCCCACAGAGAGTGAAGGAGTCACCAACGCCACTGTCTTGTCACTAGTGTCCCTCTGGAGAACACCAGAGATAAGTCCCTGGAGAGCCCCGTTCCCCTGGAAGGGAGCTGGTGGCAGTGTGCCTGGCGGGTCTTTATCCCTCCCCTACACCACACCCTCAGAAGCACATTGAGAGGTGGTGGGGTTGAGCAGAGAATACACACCCCTTCTTGTTCGGGCACCTTTCTCCTAAGAGATCCTTGTGAGACAGCAATTTCAACACTAACTCACAGGTACTGTTCTCTTTATTAGTGTGGTTTTGCTGAACCCAGTTGATACTCACCTTGTCTTCTCGTTTATAGCTGTAAGTCTGTGGTACGTTTCTCATATTGTCCAGTGTTCGTTCACTCTATACTTTCAGGCAGGCTGTGATGAAAAATCACAATGCAGAGTGGCACTGTTACTGCCTGTCAGTGCCAGATGTTTGCTATTTACATACTTAGCTAATTGGATAATTGAAGTTACCATCTCTTTTAGATACGCCGAATAGGGATCATTTACTTGATTCACTTAGTGTAAAATTTGTGTTTAAATTGTCAGATACAAGAGCTGTTTGAGAGATTTGCTTGAAGGTCTTTCCATTGTACCATGAAATTACGTCATGTTTTCATGAAGTAATGGACCGAACTGACCACAGAGTGAATGTGTTACAGAAGAATGTCCTGAAGGTTTTATTTTTGAAAGTGAACTTCCTTTCTGGTGAGTTATTTGGATAGGACAATGATCATCTTTTAGGTCCCTTTAACAGTCTTGTCATTCCAAGCAGGTTATGTATACCAGCATATAGCGATTGCTTTGCACATCCTCAGTCAGGACATGTGGACGGGCACTGAATAGGTTTAGTAAATATCTATGGATCTCATGTTGTGTGTTTTAGCTTCTTGCCACAGATAGGAGGAGATGAGATGACACTCATTGGTCCTTCTACTAGTTTATTGTGTCCTTCATTACATGACATTTCACAAATAACATTGCTGTCTTCATTTCCCCAAATGTTGCAAAAAGCTGAAGTGAAAATGGCTAACACTTTTCTACACATTTAGGGCCAATGAATCCTATAGTTGGAAGAGACCTCAGCATTTTTCTTGCTCAACTTCTTACATGACATGGGAATCCAAATTTCTGATTAAGAACATTCACTGACATACAGTTCAGCGCTTCTATGAAACAACCCGTTTTCTTCAAGGAGGTGATCCCAATTGTCACGACATTATTCCCTGGACTAAGGTAAAATCATCCTGCAATATTTGTGCGGTGAATTCTGATCCTTCCTTTGAAACAGAGTAAAACCTTCAAACTTTTGCTTATGAAACTTTGTAAATATTACCTTTTGAGGAAATTTGAATGGAGGATTGATATGGGGATGCAATTATGAATTTTTGTGAGATTCTTATTTTAGTGAAATTGAGATGGTTTGTGGACGGAAGAAGGATAAGGAGTCAGGGAGATAGGAAAACAGAAACAGTGGTTTAATATTTACAAATCAAGCCTCAGAGTCCCCACCCTGGTAGAAGTACTTTTCTAAAGCTTGATAAAGCAGAGAAAGTAAAGACTCATGATGAATAAGATTTTGATATTAGAGCTAAGCTGTACAATATGTCAAAGTTCTATGAATATGAGAACATAGTCAGAGCTTTAGCTCTAACCTTGCATATTGATCAGTGTTTCTTAAATCCCAGGCTATGACCCGTGAAGAAATCATTCAACAAGCATTTTGACTAGTGAAGTAGAGTAGGAAATAATATAGAAAATAGCAAGGAATGTGCACACTCGCACATAATAATAATTCAAGTGCATGGGTGTGTGTATGTAACTAATTTAACATAAATGTGTGTATGTAATATAATTTAAATAATCTGTGTGTGTATATATGTAACATATACATTATCCACACACATAAGGACATTGACTATAAATATTCATGTGGGAATAAGAGAGGGAGACAAACATTTGATCATGAAACAGCACAATCAGAGTAGACCATCTGTTGATACAAAGGTCAAACCAAGTTCTCTTTTTGAAATCCAGCTAAAGTGGTGACAGTCTGTGCCATCATCTCAACCTTATTCAAGATTTCTGTCAGCATAGTTACAGGGCTAACAAATAATTCATATACTGGAGGCACAGGTTAGTGAGAACACCTGATAGGAGGATCTCCGACACCTTCCCCATCCTTCTTCCCACCCTCATGTATAGATGCAGAGGCAGCCCGCAGCCCCCTTCCCATGTGTAGCAGGTGTGCTGTGTGGGGGCTCTTCATGGGCAAGCCTCCAAGGCATCATAGTGACTGAGGGAAGTATCCACTGCTATGGAAATGGATGTTAACATATTTGAGCTGTGGAGAAAGTTTGGGAATAAAGTTCAGATTTACTGAATACTGTGATAGAACACTGGCATTTAATCTATCAGGGTGAAAGGAATTTCCTTCCGTGTCATTTGTACTGTGCAGTATTCACGTAGTAAGTGACTAGCAGGACAGAAATGTCAGTGAAGATGTTTTCCAAGGAAGGAAGCAGTGGCACACACATCTACCATGTTTTACATGTCCCCAGGCTTTCAGACGTGGTGAGCTCACGTGTCTCTTTCCCAGGAAAATGGGCGAGAACCAGACTTCTGTCACGGAGTTCCTGCTCCTGGGATTTCCCCTCAGCCCGAGGATGCAGGTGCTCCTGTTTGGGCTGTTCTCCCTGCTCTTCGCCTTCACCCTGCTGGGCAATGGGGTCATCCTGGGTCTCATCTCCTTCGACCCCCAACTGCACACCCCCATGTACTTCTTCATCTGTCACCTGGCCACCGTCGACATAGCGTATGCCTGCAACACGGTGCCCCAGATGCTGGCCAACCTCCTGAGGCCAGCCCGGCCCATCTCCTTTGCTGGCTGCATGACACAGACCTTTCTCTTCTTGACTTTTGCTCACAACGAGTGTCTTCTCCTGGTGGTGATGTCCTGTGATCGGTACATGGCCATCTGCCATCCGCTTCGGTATTCTGCCATCATGAGCTGGAGAGTCTGCATCACCCTGGCAGTGACTTCCTGGACTTCGGCAGCCCTCCTGGCCCTAGAAGATATGGTGTTACTCTTACCATTGCCCTTCTGTGGGCCTCAGAAAGTGAATCACTTTTTCTGTGAAATTCTAGCCATTCTCAAACTTGCCTGTGCAGATACCCACCTTAACGAGATTATAGTTTTGGTCAGGGCAGTGTTGGTGCTGGTGGGACCACTGTCCGCAGTTGTGGTATCGTACGGCCACATTCTGCGTGCCGTCCTGAAGATCCAGTCGGGGGAGGGGCGCCGGAAAGCTTTCTCCACCTGCTCCTCCCACCTCTGCGTGGTCGGGCTCTTTTATGGCACAGCCATTGTCATGTATGTTGGGCCCCAACACGGGGACCCCCAGGAGCAGAAGAAGTATCTCCTCCTCTTTCACAGCCTTTTCAATCCCATGCTCAATCCCCTGATCTACAGTCTGAGGAACAGAGAAGTCAGCGCTGCTCTGAAAAGGCGGCTTGAAAAGGAGAGACCCTCATGAAAGCCTTACAGAATAACAAAATAACTGAGTTTCAAGGGGCCTGAGAAGTCATCTCCTCCGATATGTATACAGGATACACAGACATGCTCTCGGGCATCTTTTGCATCTTCTTGACCTTTTCCTTTGACTGCCTCCCAAGAAAGCCCATGACCGCCTCCCTAGAAAGCGCTGAGGAGTGCTGCACAAGTCAACAAAACTCTCTTCCAGCTATCTGTGGGGTGCTCGCACTTGTGATAGCGTCATGTGAAATATTCTGAATAAGAGGAAGTGAACTTATGGATTCCATGATCAGGACTTGTAGACAAAATTTTATTAAATAAAACAAGCTGTTGGCAGCATATTAAAATATAGGAGATGAGACTGACTAGATAGTAGTGGTTGAAATATAAATTTAGCAACTGTCATCTTCAGAAATAGGTCTACACTTAAAATATTTGGTTATATTCCTACGTATTTCTACGATAGTGATGTTTTCAAAGGCATCATCAACCTCAGTTAGGAAGAGCATGGGCCATGGTTTCCAGGAAAAGAGGGCGGAGGGTGTGACTCGGATGGAACTAACAGCAAGAGAAGAGCCCCACGGGGAGTCGTGCGAACACACACAGACGTGTTGGCGCTTTCTCTGTTGCCGCGTTTCTCTGCTTCTGGAGCCTAGGTCGAGGCCTGCGCATGGCAGAGACGAGAGGAAGAAGGCGGGATGGATGTAGCTGAGAGTGCTTGGAAGAATTAGACATTTTCTCTCATGGGTTCTGCCAGTCGCTTCCTATGGGAAATGACCAAAAGTTAGAACATTCTCCCAAGTAAGAATAGACCATGTATCTGTTGTGATGACTATTTGACCCATGATCCGAGAGCTATAAATTACCAGTAATAATGTGCTCTTTAAAATAAGACATATGAGGTAAGTTAAATAACCGTTTTAATCGAACATGAAACTCCAGCACAATTATGAAATGATAGAACAGAGTCAAGGAGTTGTGGGAAAAGATGTATAAAGAGACTTCTTCCAGACTTTCCTCAAATTATATGCTAAATTAAACCTGAATCCTTAAACTTCATCAAAGGGAAATGTTTACCTTTTAAATAATGTTGTGTGTGTGTGTGTGTGTGTGTGTGTGTGTGTGTGTGAAGAGTATTTAAAGAGGAAAATATATAGGTTTCATTCTTACAAAGTATCCTTTTAGCAAGGAAGTCTTTTAGGTAGACATTCATTATTCTATGACCAAAAAGAAATTGATTAAAATCGATGATTTTGAATTCAGATAAAACTGGGATTTTCCCTAAGTTCTTCTAGTTGCTAGATGTGCACACTAATACATTATACTTAAATCTTTGGAAGTTAGACTTTTTATGTGTGATATAAATTCCCTAAGCTCACAGGTTTGTAGGGAGGAAGTCGTGTGTAAAAAAAGCTTAGCAGAATTCATGAATTATAATGAGAGATCAATAAATTGCAATTAATCTTATACCCTAGATACATTGATCATTTTTAAAGAACAGGGACTATGATTTAAAAATGAAACAATGTAAAATGAGATTTGCTACCATACTAGACAAAAGCAGGAATATTAAAAAATGTAGCCCTTTATGTAATACAAAATGAACCATTATCCCACACCACCCCTAGAGGTGTGCAAGACACAACCACATGTTGATGTTTCTCTCCCTCTCTTTTTCTATCTTTTCCCCTCTCTCTAAAAATAAATAAATAAAATCTTTTTAAAAATATACCATGGTTTCAAGTAATTTATGAAGTAAATAACTCATCGAGGCTTTCCTTTGAAACTGAGTTCCCTAAAGAATAATAATATTTAAAAGTGCATGGATGAATACAATTCAAAATTGCAAAAATTTATATCTGTTAGTGTATACACACAAAATATGCATTCTTTGTTACTCTCCTTTTTTCACTCAATACTGTTTGTGAGATTCATTAAGGATGTTAACAAGTAACTCTAGTTCATTAATTCATTTGTTTCATAGCATACCCTTGTATAAGTCTGACACAATTTATGTATCACATTTCTGCTAGTATATTTCTGATTGTCTACAATTTTGTCTGTAATAAATAATTAGTCCATGAATGTTATTACGTGTGTACTTTGGGGACCATATGCAATCATTTTTGTTGGACATGTACTCAGGGAAATTCTGGGTCATGAATGCCCTAGAAGATTTGGATCTGCCTTGGCTTGAAAATCTGATAGGCTGCCGAATTCATTATTATTACCTTTTACTCATCATTTGCAATGTTTCTCATACTGAGTTGGGCATTAGTAAGGCAACGATGAGCTAAGTACAGTTGGTCCTTAAACAACGTGGCATTCAACTGCATGGGTTCACCTTTATGTAGATTCTTTTTTTTTTTTTGATGATTTATAGCACATAGAAAGATGTGGGTAGGTTATATGCAAATACTGCATCATACAAAAGTCTTTATTTTTTTATTTTTTTAATTTATTTTTTCAAATACATTTGTCTCTGCCTACCCCCGACACCTTTCCCTTGACCCCTCCCTCCTTCCCTCAACTCTTCCCCTTTGGTTTTGTCCATGAATCCTTGCTATATGTTCCTTGACTTTCCCCTTCCCTTCCTTTTCCCCTGCCCCGCCTCCCTCCTTCCCTCTTGTCTCTGTTGGTTTCTTTTCCTTTGAGTGTTGCTGGTCTTATTTTCCTTGCATCTTTGTATTGTTCGTTAGGTTCCACTTATAGGTGAGATCATATGGTATTTGTCTTTTGCCCCCGGCTTATTTCGCTTAACATTGTTTTTTTGATAAATACTGTAAATGTATTTTCTCTTCTTCATGATTTTCTTAATAACATTTTTCTTTTGCTTACTTTATTGTAAGAGTACAATATATCATACACATAAGACATATAGGGAGGGACCCCCCAAAACCCGAAATTTATTTATAAAAAATTGTGTATTTATTCTTCCATGTTTAAAGTTCATCACCTTCAAAATACTCTCTATTTGTTGTAGTATACCTATTAAGACATTTTTCCACTGCTCAAAATTTTGACTTTGTCGATTTTGATTCCTTCTAGTGCTTCTGCCTCCTTTGTTTCAACTTTTCCACATGGGCAAAATTTTTCCCTTTGAGGACTTTTCTCATCCAGAGAAACAAAAAACGGAACTTGGGGCCTGATTGGGTGAATAAGGAGGATTGGGCACAGGGGTCACACAGTTTTGGTCAAAAAGTACTGAACACTCAGCGTACTATGAGCAGGTGCCCTCCAGAATCACCCATCATACAATGGGCAAACATGTTGAAAGAGTCTCCAAAAAAAAAAAAATTCACTGAAGCTGAACGCAGCCTCTCAAAACACCACCAGCTGGTACACTGATAATGATCAGTTCCTAGAACAGTGACTTAGTGGGGGAGGCCTGTACTATAAGGGGCCCATGCTCCAAAAGATAATTCCTCGGGTTATTTGTTTTTTCTTTTGTTTTGTTGTTCCTCTTGCTGTTAAGTGACTACTGGTGTACCAATAAGGCTCTGATCAATATTAGGCTATTAGTAATTAAGTTTTAGGAAGTCACATTTATACACATATTTTTGAATGCATAGGCATAGGGGGTCAGTTCCCCTAACCCTGCTTTGTTCAGTGACCAACTGTATATGAAATTTGTACCTAGGAGGTTTACGGTCAAGTAAGAGAGACTGGCATTACTCTAATGTATCGTGTACATAGACATGTTACTGGGTCACAAGTCTATACATTTTTCTGTTCTAAATAGTTGAGCCAAGAATAAGAAACTTATTTATTCTGTTATCACTACTTTAATATTCTTAATTAGCAGCACTAGAGGTTTGGGAGTGGGGAAAAGGAAGCTCTATATGTGTGTTAGGGCTTGATGAGTTTGTAAATGTTTCTGTTGAAGCTGTCTCAGCCTTCTTGCCTGGTTGGTTTAAAGAGCCTTTTTCTCAGTCATCTCATCTGGGTCCACGTGTCAGTCTCTCTGTGGGATGTGTTGTGTCCTTGGTGAGGGCTGGCTGTTACCTGCTGAGATCTGGCCTCTCAGCAAGTGTCCAGGACCTGTCTTGTCTCTGACCCCGGGACATGGGGCTGTGGAAAGTATGTCCTCTTGTTATACTGAGCCAGCCTCAGTTAAACATCCGTGGTGCGTCATCCACATCTTAGTGATGCCTTCCCTGGTACGATGAACCTCTGTGAAATACGGCCGAGTCTTCCCTTTTGATCTCGGGCCTCGTTGGCCCACCCCGATGCCCGCAGGTACCAGGCGATTTCCCTGGCACCATGGCGATTCCCTGTGCAAGCGGGCGCCCTACTTCTCTGATATTTGCACCCACCGCCACCACTGGGGACGTGCTGAATCATCTGAATTCCTTCCAGAAACTATGGAGGCAGCAAGGAGGCAGGAGGGCTGCCTAGGCTGTGTATCTAGGCAACCTAGCTCTTCAGCACTCGTCTCTCCTGCTCTCCATGCCGTGATGCTGCATGCACTTGACCTGCACATTGGTCTCCACCCAGAGACACTAATGGGAGGTGCAGAGCAACACACATGTGCTTTCCAGGTTCATGCTTGTCAGATCTAACAAGCCCCTGTCTGTCATTTCAGACCAGAGTGGGAAAGCCAGGCATACATGCATCTGACCACCTGCTTCTCTTACGTGTCTTCCTTTCCCCTTATACTTCATTGGGACCAGAGACACAGAATTTTTACCTTTCCTTATTGGCAGAAAATGCCCTCACATCTCAGGCTGAGTTCTCTCTATCACTTGCTTTGGCAACATCAGTGGCTTCACTAGCCTGGGTTCTTCCAAAATAAAACCCCATGCAAAAGCTTATGTACTGGCATTTAATTATAAATGAGGAAAAAGAGGAGTGTGACAGAAGAGTAGGGGAAGCAAGTTGAAGGGTGACTTGCTGGTGCTGCACACTGTGTGGTGCTAGAAACAAAAACTCTTTTATTTCATGGGATTACCATATGAGAGTCCTTGAGCAGTGTGCATCATATGGCAGTTACGTCGAGTA